CCCTATTTACGGGAATACAGGATGCGCCAGGGCGGGGGCTAGGATGCCTACAAGCCCGCTGAGCAGACGGCTGGGCATCTGCCCCAGCGCGCCCACGGCATCTTCTATCCCACTAAGTAAGGTAGTCCTTAGTCGTACGTGTGAGCACGAGCCCTCCCAAGGTGCAACGGCCAGGCCCCCGCGCCCAGTCCTTGGCCCGCTGGGAACACCTGGCTTCTGCTCGTGTGACTGACTCTGCCGTGTCCTCGCCTCGTGTCTCCTCTCCGCCGCCCAGCCCCGCAGCCCGTAGCTCTCTGCTGGAAGCCGACCCCATCGCTCCTGCCAGCTCCCTGACCCGCGCTCTGCTTTCACCTGCCCCAAGCTGCCTCCGTCACTGGCTCTGCCCTCCCCCAGCCCTGTGGCTCCCATCCCACCCACCAAATCGGGCTCTGAGCTGCCTTCAGCACCCGCTCAGCTTCTCGAGGGGGCAGGTGCTGACATCCCCCCTTTGCCTGGTGCGAGAGCGGGCTGTCACAGAGCACAGGGAGGCTGTGCCCCTGGGCAAACTCCCGTGTCCGTGGTGGACCACCCCCTATCAGGAACAATTCATCCCAGCCTAAAATCCACAGCTGCTCCTGGGGCGTTTCTCTTCCTCTGGCGGCGGGATGTAGATCCTCTCTGGAGCTCTCAATGGGGACAAACACCATGGGGTTCGTTGTGTTGGCACCACGCAGCCCTCCCCATGTCACTGCAGGGCAGACCCCGCCGGGGCGGTGGGCACCGGTCCCGGTCCCTCCCCTGCCCACCTCATCGCTTACCCCGCTGCATGTGCATGTGCTGCTCCCCTGGCACACCCCGAGCCCAGAGGTGGGCAAACCGTGAAGGATTTCTCCACAGCTCGGGCACGCGGGTCCACCGTGGGAGCTGCACCGAGCCTTGAGGATCTGGGAAATGTGGTAGGGTTAGTTGTGGGACTCGCTTGGGTCTCTGGGCTGTCGCTGAGGAGGAATGCCAGGGAGGTGTTTTAGGTGACTCCTTTCGAACCTCAAAAGAGGTTTGAGCTTGAAAGCAGAAGCCGGAGTTCTTGCTCTTGCTGGTTCTTGCTCTGAGCCAGTTTGCCCACCTCTGCGGCAGGACGAGGGGAGCCACCCTGGTGCCTGCACTGTCACAGAACGATGTCCCCACGCCTAAACCCCCCCTTGCACTTGAGTGCTCTGAGCTGCCCTCTCTCCACAGCAGGCCAGACCCCACCCCAGGCTGCCCTTGGGTCCAGGCTGGTCCATGGAGATCCAGGTTTGGATCCACGCTGGACATCTCTGCCCAGTCCTTCACCTCCTGCCCTTTGGCAGAAGCCCACTTCAAAGGAGCTCTGGTGGAAATGCCGTTTTCCTGCCCTGCTGGGAAAGAGGCTCAGGCTCTCTTCGTGCCTGCACAAGAGAGCAGCAGAGGAGGGTGCTGGTGTTGCCAGCAGGACCCAATCCCTTGCTGATCCCAAGGGCATCTCCCTCCAGGTGACTTAGCTTGTCCTTAGCAGGCCGTGCTGGAGATGCTGAAGGGACGTGCTGTGCCCTTCACGGAGGGAAGCCTGTGATTTCAGCCACATACTGCCCCTTTGCTCTTCCCTGCAACAGTCTTAGTAAGAACTGCAGACCAGGGTGCTCTGTCATGCTCTTCGTTTGGCTCCTGAGACCCTAAATTCAAACCCTCCCAAGTGCCCCTGCTCATCTCTTTTGCCTTGGCTGGTGCTTTAATCACAGTTATCTTCCTCCTTCCTTCTCCAAGTTTTTAGACAAGCCAGAAGATGTTTTGCTGAAGCATCAGGCCAGCATCAATGAGCTGAAACGGACCCTAAAGGAGCCCAACAGCAAGCTTGTTCACAGGGACCGGGACAGGAGGCTGCCTTCCTCACCAGCCTCTTCCTCACCCAAGCATGAGGATGAAACACCAAAGGGAACCCCAGAAAAGGCCAGCGAGGTTTGTTCTGCTGCTTCTCTAATGGAGGGGATCAGGTTGTTCACCAGGAAGTTGTTCCTCAGCTGTCGGGCTCTGGCTCTTTGCCTCCTCTGCTGCCCAGGAGGCGCGTGCTGGACGTCAGGTGGTGGGGACAGGCGGTGGAGGGAGGGGACGTTGGCCAGGCCGTTGTCTCTAAGTTTTGTAACAAGCTCTCCATTTTCACGCTGCTCGTGGTGACCTTCCCTTGCGCCCAGGCACTGCATGGGGTTGAACTTCTCATCCTTTTCAGGGATGCTGTGTTTTGGAGGTATCTGAGAGTTGGGCTGTGGCTTTGTTGGCTTGTGAGATGGGGCTTTCCTGACCCCTCGTAGCAGCAGAGCTGCTGCGTGGCAGTGCCCAGGGCAGCTTATGCCCACGGGGTGTCCTCAGCAGGGCAAGACCCCGAGCCTGCAGAGGTGCTGTCACCAGCTGGGACGAGGGTGGTGGGAGCAGGCGGAGGGGCGAGCGGGTGCCTCGCTGGCATCGTGCACACACCTCCTCCCCTCTTGGTGTTTTACCTGATTGATTTGACCATGAGTGTGGAAGGAGGGTGAGCTGGAATTGGGGGTGCCAGGACCTCTGAGGGGTGTGGATGTGACATGACTGGGTGCTCTGTGATGCTGGGTTCCTGGCCAGCTCAATTACAGGCAGCACGTGGCGAGGACATCGCCGCTGCCAGCCTGGAGACTCTCTCCCTGCTAGGACACCTCCCTGCTTGCTCTCCCCTCTGTGGGGGCTCTGGAGCCGGTCCTGTGCCCACACG